TCCCAGACCATAAAAATAACGCGTAAAATATTAACGTCAAATAACACAAGAACAGATATATGGCTGTAGATATTCCATAATCGGCATTGGTAAGTATAAATTCCAATTGAGCAACGCTCGTCCTGTCGACACACACATACATTCTTCGACACTTGCACGCTCTCGATATTGAAATATCGAGACGCACGATATAGCTTGGTCAGAAATTATGCGATCGCCAACTAAAGTTTGCGCGATCGGCAGAAAAGCCTCTCGACTTCTCTTCGCTAGGACGGATGTATGGTCTGTGTATGCATTGCGTATTACATGTAACTCGCTTCACCTCTCCTCTCCCCGCTCGCTTTCCCCGCGGTCGTCATTAAACCAACTGCTCGAGACAACTGGCGCTGATTATTTAGCAATACAAATCATTCGTCGAGTGCGAGTGCGTACCGTTTCTCTCTCTCGTCTCTCTCCTCGTCTTTCTCGTTCTGTCGAACGAGTTCTCGCGTGCGCGGGCGTGGTACTGCACGTACTACTTATGCGAAAGGCGAATAAAACACACGTACATACGCATACACACATACGGGAGCGCATACGCGGCTCTCTCGTGCGGCATGTGCATCAGATACCAGTCGGTAGAAACAGTTTTGTTGATTAGCAAGCTCGGTTGAACCGGCCGTATTACTTTGTCGCATCGCCAAGGAATGTTCTCACTGGCAAGCTATAAGTATCCCACGTCGTAAAACGTTGACGTATCGTGCGAATGCGCCAGATGTTTTAAAAGATAACTAATAGAATGTACGAATGAATTCTGAGTAAATTTTAATCCCCATTTAATTTCTTTCGTTACTCATTGATGTATATGTATACTTATCTGCAAGTTTTGTAGTAATTGAATATCCATTTAATTGAATTCCTCAGAAATATTTCTATTTCACTTCAAATCCGGCCGATAAACGAGCAAACGAGAATCGTAAAAGCAGCCGCGACAGTTTCTCGCGCGATGTATATAAATCCATATATCTGCTCATATCTCTCGCGCACGCTTGTATCGAGATAAAATATTTCCGAAGGAGCTACCGATACATCGCTCCGAAATTCCTCGTGACCGCCGTACGTAATTAATAAATATCGCCTAGTATACAATTTATGATTCGCGCTATGTCATTAATCACGCTTGCGCGCGCGCGATGCCGCCTCAGCCGCCTGTTCCAAACCGGGCAGGTGGGGAATCGATAACAGAGATACATTAGAATATTATGACCTTTCAAAGTGCATTCGGTGATTCACCGCGGGAGCCGCGATAGCGCGTTATCGCTGCGACTACTCGCGGCGCGGGCCGATGTTATCGCGCCGCTATACTCCCGGCTAATCGAGACAAGCGAGAAAGGGAGAAAAGGAAGAGGCAGGGTGCTGACCTCGCTTCCTGAATCGTTCAGGGCGGTGGCATCTCTCCGAGGAGGCTCGGCGAACGCGGAAAGCGCTGTGCAGGCACGTCGCGATTGCGCCAGCGTTCGTGCAATCAAATCAACCAGATAATATTTGATTTCAGCCAGACAAACGTCAGCTCGTTAAGCTATTCTTTATCATCATGTATTATCCAAACGCGATTACGATACACAGCGGACACGATCTACATTTTTTCATATTTAAATTTTACATGTTATCTATGCACTTAATTAATTAGATATAGTCTGTGTTTTCATTGAATCTATTAATTTAAATCTCAATTAAATTGGCAATATATAGAAAGCCTAATTTATAATTCTAAGTAATTTATAATCCCAACGCGATAGAACATTATCATACTAATTTTTTATGACTTTACAAATAAAATTGTAACAAATATAATCGTAATTGAGCCTTATTAATTATCCAATTAAAGATATAAACTGTATTCAACTTTATTTTTTGCAAAGTTTTTGAGAATCAAAGGAAATCATCCATTAAATCGAAATGATTAAAATTTGTACGAGTTATAGATTTCAGTATGGCTCCATTTAAGTATCGAGACCTAAAAAATCGTGTCTTTAATTATAATGTTACATGCATCGCAAATGCATCCAGTGTAAAAGCGTTACCCTAATGACAGGGAAAATCTCGCAGTGCGTAATTTTCGCGCTATTAAATTTTTAGCATCACGTGTCTCGCTCATTCCCCTTTTTTCTCATTCTCCTCTATAAAACGCCTTTTGAAGCACGTTCGAGAAAATTATGCGTATACGCAAATCGGTCAAAGCGACTGCTGCGTAGGATCATGATTTAAAGTAATCTCAGTACGGATCGGCGGATACCGCAACCGGATGTTATCGTGTCGCCGTCGACTTTCCGCGCGTTCAGCAAAAATCCGCGCGCCTCAAATGTCATTATCCCAAACGAGATAACGCCGCATCACCCCGGCTGGTGAGACTCCACCACCTACCGGCGTACAGGGGCGAATGCTTCCATCGGTAGGCGAGGTATGCGGCCTTACGCTGCGCGCGTAAGCGCACTCGCGAGCGCGTGCACTCGCGGAGAGCCGCATAATCGCGGGATTACGTAAGCGCCGAGCCGCGGCATACGATCGCGCTTGTATTACGCTATAATTAGGACCGGCTGGCCGTCGTAACCGCGCACACAGGCACACAGATATACGTGCGCGCGCGCATACGCGTATGAGCGCGACGTTACTTACGGCGCGTAATCCGCGCCGTATTAATAACCGACGATAAACGTTAACGTGCACCGCCGTCCGAGTCTCTCCCAGGACTCGGGAAGAGGAGCGTAAACTGCCGCGCGCGCGAATGCCGCTGCCGAGAACTACGGATCTCGATAGTGCGGGATTAGAGAGCGCTTTTTCAGGGGAGAGGTCACATCGAGGCACGCTTTCCGTTTACGTTATCAAAACACGGCTTGATCTCCCACGACGAGCCGAGCGCGTACTCGTCGGAATATTTGAAATTCTGCACGGAGTTTGTGCTCTTACCGCTGCCACGAACCGTCGGCTGACTCTAAAGCGGCCGACGCGATTCGGGTATTAAAACGAGCAGCCGATAGTTTGCTGCAGGTTGCGGCACTTTTTTTCTAAATGTCCACGTAATCGTCCGACATTAAGGAAAGCAAACTGGTTTTGCGTGTTTGCAACGAACGTTTGACCGGCGCACGACTTATTTATCTTTAGCCTCGATCTTGCGAGCGAGCTGAAAAATCGCGGAAAGGTACACACTACATATGGCGCATGTGGGAGATACCGCATTGTATATCGATGCTCGAATGTAATTGTGTAGTGTGGAATCGCGGGCCTCGCTAATTGATGTCTTACGAACAACAATTTCTCTGAAGAAAGTTACGCACCTCGTGGTAGCAGAACAGTAATACTGTCATTGTGTGTGACTACTAATTGCAAGTATTTATTAATTAAGTGACATTAAAGTGTACCGATTAAATACATAAATTTTCACATTACATTGTGAAAGAGTTTCTTTTTAAATTTTTCTCGTATGAGCATGATCGAAATGAGTGTTTTTTGCGTAAAAAAAACAGCCGCCGCTATGTTTCATAATCAATTTCCAATTAAGCATTACTAAATGAACACTAAACTAGTGATCGCGAATAGACACGACCGCGCGGACGAAAATCAAGATCTCGCCGTGCTCGTTCCCGACGTGCGCTTGATTAATATCCAGATGTAATTACGCGCCGCTTCGGGGGAAGGACGGACGCGAGAGAAGAGGGCAACCTTCTTCTCGTTGTGCGTGCCTCTCGTCGGACCGTGTGGGAGGAAGGTGAGAACAGAGATGAAACACATCGTACGAAGGACGAGGAGAAAGAATCAGAAGAAAAGACGAAAAGAAGAAAGAGAGAGAAAGAGAAGAGAACTCCGTCGAGCTGCCGACGGAACGAAATCCTGACAGATTTCATCGTGGGCTGACGTAAACAATTTGCGAATGTAAATACCTGTTGAATATTGAGCGTGCTGGCAGGGCCCACGGGGCCCCACGCCGGGCCCCCAACACCTTGCGATCGTTTACCCTTTAAACTCGTGATTACCATCCAGCGCCGTCTCCCACCTACCGCGGCGAGGCGTGTAAGTCATCGGCATAAATTATACGTGAACATCGCGCGGCGATGCTGAGGATCCTCCTCGCCACTTCGTCGAGAAGGAAGTATCCTTCGGCCCTATCCGATTGGATCCGCGCGCGCGCGAAGAGTCGCGAGGTAGAAAACGATCGAGACATCCTTGACATACGCGGGATCCTTAATGCTTAAAAAGAATCGGCGCAGGCTCATATTTCCCGCGTTAAGAATTAAAATGCAAGCTTCTTTCGCTATCAACGTGACGTGATAGCGTGAGTTGATAGTTAAGTGAATTAAAGTCTAACACAGATTTAATTTAGTAATGAGAAGGCTATGCGAACGATGTATCATAGTAAATTACAGAGTTGCGATCTCTTGCGGTGTGTTATCACCTATCTAATTAACATTTGTACATTGATATCGAAGATGTACAGTTTAGATCGTTTATCGCCTTATAGATTTAGGGCAATAAAGTTCGGTGGCGCGTGTAACGTCTTGCTCGATTATTAATAAGTTCGTAGGGGCGCAGCGCTTATCACCTCATCAATGATTGAATCACTCGGACGATTCCATATCGTGGCTTCGTAACGTGAAATAGCGGGTAAGAACTCGTGTTGAGATAATTGGTGATCTCTCGAGATCGATCTCGATGCCGATAAGCAGCAACCGACATTTCAGATAACTTTCTCGCTTCCACCGCATTTAATTACTATCGACGATTATAACGGGAACGCGGTGCGTATCGCTAACGGTTCGTGATAAACATTTATCCGAACGCCGCGACCGTGCACATAACGTTCGCTCGCGCATTTTCCACGCGCGACTTTTCTACGACCGTTCCCGCGTGCGCGCCGGCCTAATCCCAGCACTGTGTCAAGGGAAACATCTCGGCACGTCGCGTCGTAGAACTGGATTACCCGTCGCGCGGGCTTGTAATTATATGAAAAACAAAAGCTCACTCACCATCCTGGTTCATTCCGTGGCCGCCATCATCTGTTCGAAACAGAAAAAGAGAATTAAGACGTGTAAATTGAAATCTGGAGAGATGCGTAACCAAGATTATCGCCAAATTATGTATGTACATTTAATCGAACAAAAATGCAAAAAAAATGGTATTCGCCATTTATTCATTTATTCGAAGTGTCTGATCGCGTGTTAATTGAAACGTTACAGCCTATAATCATGCGTCATGCCGTTCTCTGAATCGTAATCAGTATCTTCGACGAAGCGATACTTCTAGAGAGCATGCAGAAGTAATAAAGTATTCTAATATGAAACAAAGAAATGCTAATGACATTCCCGAACCTTATTTGAGAACATAATACACGTTGCGTGCTGTCAATATATAAATAACACTGCGTAATGTTGCAAGAATTTTTTTATTTTTAACACGTCTAGGAATATAAATCTATCGAAAACGGAAGCCTCGTTGTACGAGGTCTGCGACTTCCCCGATAGGATATCGTGAGGGAGCAAACGAATGCACCTCGCGAAGATTCAGCATCCGCACGTTGCTGTGGATCATGACGACTCGCAACGCGCCAGCGATTGCAACCTGCACGGCAACCTATTTGTACTCCGGACCTGGTATCGCGCGATCGCGCAGTGTTCCTTTATTTAACCCCATAAATAACCGTCGCTATCTCACCCCGAATGTTTTCCTATAGGCAACGGACAACAACGTATACGTGTGCATACAGTAAAATACATTTCCGTGTATATACATACGGTACGAAATATATTAGATGCTGCCAGTCATTCTGGTGTTGCGCGAGTCTGGCGCGATGGGAATCCCCATAAGCGATCCGTGCGTCCATCCAACGGAAAGAATACCCTTTGCGAGATTAAAGCGTGGTACCTATGTGTTACTCGCTCGATAATAGCTCGCGCGTTTAATCCCCCTTCAAGTTGCGTGACTTTAAACTGTAGGTACGTTCTTTTTTGTAACACACATCAAAAAGTTTGTTATTATGCATTTGTTACGTTACATGTATATCGTACGATACAAATAATCAATGCCGTTCATGGTGGAGCTACATATGCAAATAATTATAAATATATCTCGCGAAGAACGTAGGCAGTAATCAATAACCACGTCGTTTCGAGTAACACTACATTCTTAAATATCAGAGTATCAGATATTAATGCTAATTGCTAAATAAGTCGTCTGGCATTAAATGGTCAAACGTACCAAGCGACCCGTATGTCTTGCGCAATACGTCCAGATTGATGCCTAATATATCGGAGAAAGGCATGAGTTTTGATAGATACTTTTTTGCGAAGTAATTTATTGAAAATAAAATGTTTGGTTTTAGGCAATTGAAACCTTTCACGCCCAGTTCCACTTTTTAGAAAATCACTTTCTTTTCGCGGCAGTTAAGAAAAACCGCCTTATTACGGTATCTCTGCGGTATCGTTACATAGTCGGCATTAAATCGGAGACTTTTCGATCGTCGAACAACGAACAATCCGGGTCTAAATGAAGCAGCGATTAGTCACGACTACGAAATCGAAACAAAGCGGACCGGACGGCGACTAGATGAGAGGTATACGAAATAATTACTATGTCGCGAGGTCAATAAACCATATAATTCACTACGATTCGCGTTGCGTGTTCTACACGCGACACGCACGCAGGTGGGCATTAATTACAAATTAAATCCATTGCGTGGTTACGCACCATTAGAGATAATCGAAATCCGCTATGCATTGCTTGGCGATTGCTTTAGCGTCGCGTAATTTCAAAGGTGCAATTAAAATTGTATCTATTCTGCAGTCAACGAGAATCAGAAGGATAAACTACATGCACGAGAGCATTACATAGGAACTTGGCAAATGTTAGTCATTAATACGAAATAACGATGTATGTATGCGACACGCTGGATATGCGTGTGGCCCTAAAATTGATCCGCGGATCTCTCTGTCAAATACGTTGATATCATTAGATTTAACGACCCGCGTTGACTCTCTCTTTCTCTTCCTCCCTTTCTTCCTTCCTGGCCTCGTGGCTCATGCCGCGTCACTGGCTGCTGCCACGGCGGCTGCCTTTCATCTTCCTTAACCAGCCGCACTCTCTACTATCACGCACACATTCATTTGTGAGGACGAGGAGGACGAAGGAAGACAACGAGCTTCTACATCGGCGCAACCAACCGTTGGCTGGAAGAAACTACAACTTCGAAGATGATCCTGGCGTATCCATGCGTGCACGCGTGTCACGTATGAGTTTGTATGTGTTCAAAAATATACTCGTGTGTGACGATCGCCCACCAAAGAAGAAACTATCGCTTCTAAGATGATCCTGTCGTGTCTGCGTCATGCTCGTATGTGTGTATCTGTGTATCCGGAAAGATCCCTGCGCGACGCTCGAGCGCCGAGCAAGTTCAGCTAACTCGATTGTTCCATACGGAACAAGGAGCTCTTTCACGCGAGAGTCTCGTTCCGGCGGTCTTTGATGAAGGAATCATCGCTCGCGGTGTCCCCCGATACGTAATGTCACTCCACCGGATGTACATACGCCGTCGATACGGGATTTAATAAGCTTGCGGTTTATAGCAAGATAATGATGATAAACGGTAAGGTGGTGCCGGCGGGTGCGGGAATGTGGACTTTTGAGTATTTAACGCGCTTTCATGTGCAATTCGCAGCTTTGAGAATATTAATGATCGTGCAGTATAGAAGCGCGGTATAGAATTTGCGATGAGTATAATTTGCAGAGCTCTCCTAAGAGACGTTGAAATAAATGCGTCTATTCCGAACGATAAGTAATTACGAGGTAATTGATACGATCCAGATAGTTAAATTATCGCCGCAATTTGAAATTTGCGCTGCCTCGCGCGAACTCTCGTATTTTAAAAATTCGTTTGATCGGTCACCGCGAGGGATACGCGCGTGTCGAACACCGAGAATCTCGCGCGATTGCAAGAGAACCGGAAAGCGCATTCGACGGATTCCGGAATTCCAACTTGACTTGGCGAACGTGATGCATCGTCATCGCGTGCGCATAAGTCGCTAGTAATAGAAGCGTCGCCGCGCGCGGACGAAGATTTATCGCCGGTATTTCGCGAGGCACGTGCCTGCACTTTTTTGCAACCACGACATTCCTATCGGCTGTGTACCGTGCTCGCGTTTAAGCCACGCCGTTCGCTCGAACGTCGATTGACGCGTACGTTATCTTATTCGTGATGTCGGAGTAATCATCGAGCGCGATATCGAAAGGCAAGCTAATTATCGGTTGTTGTATATCCGATATCGCGTATATCGTGGCAGTCAAGAATTCATGCCAATATACGAAAAAAATAACGGTTGTATTAAAACACTTACGTTAATCATACATTCTATTATAAAAAGTTATAACTATTATTAATAAATGTTGATTATCGCAAGAACTGGTCATACGTTAGGTACTTGTTTCATTTATTGTAAAAGCAATTCTCTCTTACGATCAAAAATAATTATCTATTTTCGGCTTCTTGCGATAATGCTAGCCTTACAATTAGCGTTTTACATAATGAAAAAGTGGATTCGTAAGAAGAAACATACGTTTTTTCTTGGACTCCTCATGCATACCTCCGGGTGTCGCAGCGCTGTGATTATGATGGTGGAGGGCTAGAGGGTCCTGGGGATGCGGATGAATGGCGGCTAAGGCACTTCCGGCTGGGTCACCCGGATTGACCCCGACTCCGACCCCTAGGTGTAGAGCACCATGCTGCGTCGCGTGTGCCGGAAGCTCCATGCTGATCATAGCACGCCACCCTCCGTCCAACCCTCTTCTCCCGCCACCCTCCTCTATCTCGGACAACACCTCGCCGAGTTGGACGAGGTGTCCGTGCACCTCTTCGTCGCCTTCTGAAAAAAAAAGAAATTTGTTAAATCAATTTTAATAGCATAAAAAAAATTATTCGATTTTTTTATGAAAAAAAATTTTAAGTTCTCGAGTGATTTGGTCATGATCATCATTGTTCATGAGGACATAAATAGAGTCGATGGCTTCCGCCGAGCAACGGGCACGGATTTTCGGTCAGTGACTCGTAGTCGAATCAATGGTGCAAGAATACCGTAGACAAAGTCTCAAGCTGATCTAGGCATACCGCAGATCGGCGAGAGAACCCCACGCAACAGGCGGGATCACAAAAATAAGTCTCGGTGGTCCAACCGCGGTGGAATTGCCTTTGCCACGCTTTTTACGCGCGGAGTAGATAATTTCTTCGTTCCTTTCTACGTAATGGCCTGGCCGGGTGATCTTTTTTGCTTATTACGTCGAGAGGAGGCCGCCGTGGAGAGCGAGCGACACACCAACGACGGCTAGGTTGGAAAGCTACAGGAGGCAAGGTGAAATCCCTCGGATGAATGAAAGGATGAATGAAGTGTAATTTCGTCCACACTGTCGGCGACGTTTATCTATAGTCTGCCCGTTCTTCTATCTGGTGACGGCGGGCGCATTGTCTAGGTTCGGACGATCACAGTTTCTCGCGACGCGCGTTGCAGCTGCTATAGTAAAAAAAAAAAAAGAAGAGCACATTATCGCGCCGGCCAACTGCGAGGGAAACGCAAGCCTCTGTCTATTTGTCAAACTCCTTTATCGGGATAGTCAGCAATATTTCCTCTGTCGTAAAATGCGCGACCACCTGCTCCAGTAAATTTTATAATGGCCATCATTAATCACGGTGATATCTCTATCGTCTTCAACGATATAAAAGTGGAGCGTTATGAGAGTAAAGCGATATGAGAGTCGAGATATTCGCGCCCAACTCGACGGCGTATATCTACGTTTTCCGCTCGCTGCATTCCGCGAATGCATAATATAAGCGTTCGGAGCTGGTGAAAAAAAATATCGATGGAGCACTCGGTCCTGTTCTCGTATTCCGCGGAGTACATTACACTGCCCTGCGAGGGAAGAGAGCAAAGAGACGAGGCCTCGAGAGTCGGAAGCAACCGCCTGGTGCACCAATCGTCATCGGGCGCCCATCCGTGAAATTCGAAACTGCTCCCGCGTTCCGCCGTTTTACGTCGCGAAACACGCGGGATCTTATAATGCGTGGGAGTGAGACTGGGAACGGTTATCGTCTGCGGTCGACGACTGTCCACCGTAGCAAGCGTGCTGTCTTTGTATTCTCGTCGGCGATTAAAACCTCGACAGGTTCTAATTTGCGTGAGGAAGTCGGTCGTATTCGAAACGCGAGTCTCCGCCAAGGGAAAGTCGTTTTGTCCCGCTATACAAAATAATAGATTTATGATTTTCGAAAATCAACGTAACTTATAGAACGTGTAAATCGTATACAAGAACGTAAATCTACAAAGCGTGTGAAAATAAGCATCGTTTATCTTATTTGCACCAGATTCCGCGAAGATGCTCTCAGCAATTTACAAATAACTCCTTGAAGTATCACTTTCAAGCGATCCTCGCGGAGTCTCAATCCGACTAAATCGTTCGCCACGCTAATTTCGACAGTGGGAGCTAGAAGTGTCAATTTTAACTCGACAAAAAAGCGAAACGGATCCCCGGGAGGAAAACGTCAAAATTGCGCTCTCAATTTCCCAACCGTTTTTCCGTAGCAAGAAAGGTCGGAACGAGGATCCGTTTTCTGTTTACGTCGACGTTCAGATTATCAGCAATGAGAGCGCGAGGGATGATTGTTTAACATCGTAGTTTCCTAGCAAAGCTCGCTCCTCTTTTGCGGACTCGTGCTACCAGCGTGCGGTGCCCTCCTAATGGAGGATGGAATGTAGCGAGACTACACCGTGGCGAGTAAACGTCGGTTAAGAAAAGGCAGACGATGATCGTTGAGCGAGGGGGCGGCGGTGAAACGGTCAGCGACTTAGGCAACGAACGGCTTTAACTAAAGCAAAGTGGGTGAGTCGTAGACGGCCAAAGTACGCGTAAAGACCAGTCTTAGAAAGAGAGACTTATCCCTATAAACCGTGGGAGTCGGCCACCAGCGCTTCTCCAACCGGCCACGGCGTATACGCACTCGCTAAAACCATTGTTTACGGCCGCCCTGAACGCCCGCGTACTTTACTAACTGGGCCCTCTCACAGGGCCCCGCCACGGGACCGGACCGCCGCGCCGCGTCGGCTACTCTATATGTCTTAAGGACGGAGGTAACTGTCGGAGCGAACGTAGAAAACGCCGCTACTATGCCATTCTGAAAACGGGCTGTTCGTAGCTGAGGCCCAAAATAAAACCCCGCGTTTGCATACGCGATCGATGTGCATCTCACGTGTGGTCGAGAGACTATGGATGATCTCTCGCGAATATTCCCGTCAAGATAAATAACCGACCATCGATCTGTTTGAAGTAACTCTTTTTCAATTAGAATATACGCGTCAGTGAGTAGCCGGTTAAAGAAATACCGTCAGATAATACAACTTAATAAAATAATTTTCTTTAATGACCAATATTATAGGAATTATTTTGGTATTTACAATAGCCAATTGTTCTTGACGCATCTCGCTTTCACTCGCGAGAGAGTTTGCAATCGATGGAGCCGCGTCGAGTGACCATGTCGAAACCTATTAAAACATTAAATTCGCCAGATGTGCCTTCCTTTCGGTTACTCAAAGAAGAGAAACTAAGGGACGATATCCATGGCACGCAGGTCGCTTACGTAAACAGTAATGATTCGAGAGCGGCTAGCAGTTCAACTAGTCGAGGAACCCGTGCAGCTACCTTCCGCACCTTATGCCTTCGCTCTTCTGCCTTTGCTTCAGCGTCGATATCCCAACTGGTTGGTAATGGCGGTGCTCTCGGGACTTAACAACGCGTGACAATATGCATCAAGGAATTGCTCGAGCGCGGAACAACTCCGGCTATGCTCCTTTCTCTCTGTCTCTCTTTCTTTCTCTCTTTCGCTCCCGGCTTCCGTAAACCGAACACCTACGAAGAAGAAGAGGCGTAGGTGCGTACACGCGTATCCTCCACCGTGTGCGCGCTCTTCGTGACGGGACAGCGCGTCCATGCGCGCGCCAGCTACGCGAAAGGGCCGCGAAATACACTCGGCTTCGGACTCTCACGGACGAAAACATCGATACATTATGCAACTTCTCGGTCCATAAACGAACACTCCCGCCAGGAATCCACGATGCAATCCTGGGAAGCTTTTCTCGTGGCGTATATCGTCGAGGGGAGCAGTCCAGTTTTCGCGGGACGGCTGAAGGCTGGCGCCTTGATCGCCGCCCGTCATGTTTATTAATCTGATCTGGAATTGCAGTGCGGAATGCCGACAATCTTGACGATCTTTTCCGCGATCTGCGAGAACGACTCGCGGATTTTTGTGCTTCCGGGTTTCCGCGGATCGCATCCTTTCTCACGATAAAGTTTGACGATAAGATGCGAATTTAATGGACGACGATGGAGGAATGATCGGTTTGGCTTCTTCGTCCTTTACTTATGAGAAAAGCAAAAGCGTTCCGGCTAGCCACCTTGCAAATTTTGCACCATTATGTACCGTGAGTGTCTTTAAATATTCACGCCGAAGTACTTTAGTAGACATACATAGTCTACCATACATGCTCGATCGAGCTTTCAAGCGACAAGAAAAGGTACCTCTCTTTCTTTCTCATTAACCCCATTATCCGTATTTGGCCACCACATAAGCGCGCACGTTGTACCAGCTCACTAGCAAATCACAAACGCATATATCTATATTAATGCTGGTATACAGAGTGTGCCTCGTATACATTAGTCAGTCGTCTGTACGCCTACGCGATCATTATTACCACCGCACGATCATCGATAAAACACGAAATTTCATCGTTGATTAATTTCAAACGCGTTATATTAAAATCGCATTAGTGTCTTTACTCAAGAAAGCTTTATCACTTACTAATTAATCGTTATTCTCTTTTAAGTGAATTTTTTTCTTCTTTTTTTTCTTTTTTCCGTGCATTATCGAGAACCGATCGTAAAAGCCAAGCGTCGTTATCGGGGCGGTGTACCCCGATACCGAGCACCGCACGCTACAGCGATCGACAATCCCGCGGCACAGCGCGCGTGGTGTCCTGTTAATGAACAAAAATTCACGAGCCTACTGGAGCATGGCGAGAGAGCAACCCACGTGAAATATACGAGAGTGCATTTACACTCGCAGCTATATCGGTCGTGTCTGACAGCGCGTTGCACTATCCCGATCGACAGCGGCGGTTTGTCTGCTGCACGCACCAGGCCGGGTCAAGTAATTCCAGTTCTCTCGTCGTTGGCGGCGGTCGGGACTTGGTCATGGAGAGGAACGTATGTAGGTAAATATAAGTTGCGCGAGAACGACCAGAGAGAGGAGGAGAGCCGGCCTGAGTAAAAGGGAAAGAGACGCGCGGCTTTCGTGGATAAGTGACTTTCGAAGAACCACCTGTGGCACGTGCCATTAACGTGCTCCCTTGCGTGTCCGTACGTGCGCGAATGTCTCGATATCCCGCCATTGCCGCACCGTCGCGGCGCGGCGTCGTGCCGCGTGGGTGTAACAGGTGAGCGCGGATACTATTTTCTTTGCGGACGGACCTTTCTTGTAATACACTACAATTTCAAAGGTTGTAATTGCCCGGGCCGCGGCAGAGGAAGGGAAAAAAGAAGGAACGAGTGAGAAAAACATCCGATCAACATCCAACGCGTTCCGTCCTGGACGTTTCTTTTTTATGGTGGATCTTATAGAAGACTTTTTTTAACGGAATAGCCGTTTTAATGGAACCGTCGCACGTGTAGCCTGGAAATTATTCCAGGAAGAGTCTGAGAAGTGACCGAGGAATAAATTGTAGCAATGTATACATATTGGTCTCTGTAAATGTCGGGGAATAATTATCAAGTAGAATATAAATCGAAATGATAAAGAATGCGTTTTCCGCGTTGAAGCCGTAGA